CTTCACGAGGCTCCACCCCTCCATGAGGCTCCACCCTCATGCCCTAATCACTCCCGAAAGGCCCTGCCTCCTAAGGCCATCACATGGAGAGTAGGATTTCAACATGTGAATTTTGGTGTGGGAGGCAACACAAACATGCAGTAACGAGATTGATACATTTGGACTCATTAGGGGACCGTTGGTGCAAAATGAGGCTTCATGGATGACAGGCTGCCCCTTTTTTGCTCCATCAGATTGATTTCTTTTTCTTAATGTTCATTTTTGAGAGAGACAGAGAGCGACAGAGGGGCAGAGAGAGAGAGAGAGAGACAGGGAGACACAGACCCTGAAGCAGGTTCCGGGCTCTGAGCTGTCAGCCCAGAGCCCCACACGCCAACTCACCGGGGGATCACGACCTGAGCCCGACGCTTAACCTACTGAGCCACCCACGTGCCCCGAGGGTCCTTTCTAGAGGCAAAGGAGTCCGGGTTTTCCAGCTCTTTGGGGCTCTCCCACCAGTCTCCTCTAACACAGCGTTTCCTGGCTACTGAGGCTGCTGGAAAATAGAGAAGCCCAGTGTCTGCTAAAGCGTGCTGTAAAGTCTTCGCCTGTTCGAATACCTGGGGCTCTTGTTACACGCAGCTTCCCAGGCCTCACCTCCCACTACTGAATCCGAACCGCGAAGCGGGATGGGGCCTCTGAATTGCTTCCTTAGCAAGCTCCCCCCACCCACCCCGTGATTCTGATGGTTGACCAGGTTTGGAAACCACCGGCTCGACAATCTGGAAGCTGGGCTACGTAGAGGCGCCTCGGCTGCGGGATCACATTCAGGATGCTTCGGGAAAGGGCGGTCTTTCTCTGACCCCTCTTTCCAAAGAGTCTCCGTTGAGGGCGCTCAGCTTTGGCAAACAAAACGGCAACCAAGCGTTGAGACCCTGGCCTCCCAGGTGTTTTTGGCATCGGGTAGGACGCCGGCGACCCTCTGGTGCAGGTGGCAGGACTGAACGCTTTCAGGGGCCGGGGAAGAAAAACGGAAGACCGGCCAGGCTGGGGTCCCACAGGGGGGTCACCAGCACCCCATCCAGCGCTGCCCAGTGGAAAAGCGGACTCCGTAGGAGCGCTCCCCCCACTCAGAGAGGAGCTGAAAATCGCGGCGTGTGTGTAAAACGCCCAACTTCAGAGTTACCACCTGCTCTCAAACTCCACACCCATCCGATAAACAGCGGGTCAGGTCCGCCCTGCAGGCGATCCGTTGGCAACATCTGATCTGGTCTGAGCTAGCCGAGCTCTTTGTTTTGCAGATGAAGAAAGGGAGGAAAACGGAAATGAGGTGACAGGCTCACCACAGTCCCAGGGAGAGATCCCAGAAAGAACTGGAACAGAGTCTGGGGTCTTGAGACCCTGGCCCAGCACTCTTCCCCGGGAAGCCCCCAGCCACCGGCACCGTGGCCCAGGATACGCTGAGCCCCATCTTCTCAAACGTGCACGTGGATGTGGGCTGTCGGAGGGGAGGGGCATGACCTTGGGCGAGGGGCTCTCTGGCCGCAGCTGTTCCCCCAAGAGGCAGGCAGCTGTGTTTCATCAGCAGCCAATGTGTCTAGCCCAGGGGGGATGGGAGGATGGCAAGAGGACCTGGGCCTGGAGAGGGGATCTGAAGGGCACCCAAGGTGTCCTCTGTGGTCCCCCCTGAAAATTCCCCTTTGTTTAAAAATGAATTCACGTTTGCAGCACCTTGCTCTGTAAT